AAAAATGTATGTGCAAAGATCTCTCATTATACTTTCTTGTAGGGAGCATTCATGCTTTACTTCTTCTACAATACATTCTTCTGGAAGTCTATGGTCTATTCAATTTTGTTCACCAGTACTACATCATAATCTGGATGCATCAATTCTGCTTTGGTCTTCCTTATTCATTTTGGGGCTTTCAGAGCAGCTTGGGTTAATCACAACATAATGTTCAAACTGACATCTTTTATTTTAAAGAAGTCTTAAGCAATTTTCCCCAATGCAATATGTCATTTGTTTCTTGCCTACTGCTTCCTAGAGTGTTGATTATACATCCAAGTAAAATAAAATTCTTGAGAATGGCAAACTTTTATCTATTTATCATGGTGTTGCTTATTTGACCAGTTGTGAGGGTATTTATTTTGTTCATGTTGAAGTGTGATCCAACAGAATCCCTGCTGGTGTAATGGTTACATGTTGGGCTGCCAGCTGCGAGGTTTGAAATCACATGCTTCCTCGCCAGCAGATAGAGCTTTCTACTCTCCTAAAGAGCTACACAGGGTCTCAGAAACTCAGGGTCACTATGAGTTAGCATCAACTTAGCAGCACGGAGTCTTGTCTTCTGTTGACGTGTAGTCCATAGGAAGGTTGTAGTCCTTTAATCATTAGCAGTGAGGGCTTCAAGCTCAGCAAGTAAGGATGTGTCACCTGCATATTGCAGATAATCAATGGGTCTTCCCCCAATCCTAAGGTCATATTCATAGTACAGCTTCTTGAATTTTTGGCTCAGTGTACAGACTGAATAAGTACAGTAAAAAGAGATAATCTCGGTACATACATTTCTTGATTTTTAAGTGACATAGTACCTTTCTGTTCTGTTGAAATAACTGCTTGACACATTAAGCACAATGTGTTTCTAATATGTTGTTGTTTATAGGAGATTGACAAATGACAAGTTCTACAATAATTATAGTGGTCAGATAGGGGTGTGCACAAGAGCGGAGTGTGTAATAGAACAGTCAATCCAATCAGGTGTACGGAGGTTTCAAGTTGATGCCTGCTCATGGTCAATAGCTTCATTTGTATCAGAGATCTGTGCTCCATACGGTTTTTCAATAGGTCTCCAGGGTTTTCTTCCAAGGAACCTCGGAGTGCACTCAAATCAACACCCCTTTAATTACCAGCTTCACTAGAATTTAAATTCTGAGCACGTCAGTCTGCATAAGGCGATGGATGACAGTTTTTCACTGCCATCCAGTCCATATTTCAAGACACACATTTCATATATAGTACTTATGCATAAATTCCAAATCCTCATAACATTTGATTAGTATTCTAGCCAGGAAATGTTAATTCTTTCTTTTAGAACCCCATAAATAAAAAGCAATTTAGGCTTGCATAAAATCTTAAGTTTCTTTGTTATTACACTCGACTGCAATCTTGTTGTGCTAAGTATCATTGAGCAAGTTCTGTCTCATAGTAACCTACATACAGGAGACAAAACACTACTGAGTCCTGTGCAGCCTTACAGTCACTGCTATGGTTGGGTTGATGATTGTAGCTACCGTGTCAGTCTGCTTGTTGAGGGTCTTCCTCTTTGTGGCTGACTCTACTTCACCAAGCAGGGGGGCTTTCTCAGGGACAGCTTCCTCCTGGTGATATGTCCAAAGGATGTGAGAAGGAGTCTTGCCAGCCTTATTTCTAAGAATATTCCAGCTGTACTTTTTCCAAGATAGATTTGTTGTTCTTATGGTAATCCATGATAGATTTCATATTTTTACCAGCACCATTTAAAGGCATCAAGTTTCTTTCAGTTAGCCTTCTGTATTCATTAACCATCTTTCACAGCTTGTGGGTTTGAACTCTGGACACTGTGGTTAGTAGCACAACATGTAATAACCTACTATGTCATATATGTATGTATGTATACATCACATAAGGATATATCTTTACATACACATAATCATACACACACATATATAACAAATTTATTAATTGTCCACTTGTGTGTAGATGTAAATGAATGCAAAAATAGGGTCTACTCTGCAGAGAAGTTTTAAAATGTTCATATATACAGTGTATTATATGTATAAACAGTTCTCCTCTGCAATACTATTTACTGGCAGAGCTGTGTTTAAGCACTTGGTTGTTAAGCGCAAGGATCAATAGTTTAAACTCATTAGCTACTCTGCAGGAGAAAGTGTAGCCGTTTGATTCTGTAAAGCTGACTGCTACTCTGTCCAATAGGGTCTCTTTGAGTTTGAATTGATTCAACAGTCATTTCTGTTGAGTCAGTTCACATCTACATATGAACTGCGCTTCAAAAATGTACGGAGTTAAATGATAATGCAGTTTTTGAAGCTACATGTATAGATCGCCCTAACCCAAGTACTGCCATCAGTCCATTCCTGATCCCTATGCAGGGCTTCTGAGTGTTGACATGGTTATGGCAGCAGATAGCTTCATCGTTCTCCCACAGAGAGGCAGTGGGTTTGAACCACCTACCTTGTAGTTATTTGTCCGACTCTTACCCAACAGCAACATGCGCTCAAAATAGGTCATAGAACAAAATCTATAGATGGTAATTTGCAGATATTACTAAAACTACCTTCATAAAAGTATCTTCAATGCATTTGAGTATTGGATGTCTCCTAGTAAAAAACAAATAAAATTCTATATTCTCTCACAGCCTCAGACAAAGAACTATTGAAGAAGCCCGTGGATATCCTACTTTGAATTATTAATGACATTAAACTACCACTTTCTGAGAGCTTTGTAGAGGGCATATGATTTCTGTTTCAGATTGGAATTGATTTTACTTGTGACTGAATTCCTCACTTTATTCTAAGCAGTTCAGTGGTGGTAGTGCTGACAGGGGGTGGGGTGGGGTGGGGGTGGGGGGGAGACCTTAAGGAAGTAGAGAAAAATAAAATGTCAGATATAATTTTAATCTTTTTAAAAATCCTTCTTTTTGCTAATATATACCAAGAGACTACTATGAGTGCTGCTATATCTGTCTCTAAAGAAAACTGTATGAAACAAAATGCATGAAAGCACGCCAAGTACATATCTGGAAACGTTAGAGACTTGCTAGGGAAAGCCAAAGGTGGCAAGAGCGTCAGACCTGTAAATAGACTTCCCTGGAGTTTGCGATCTTGCATAGAATCCCTTTTGCTTTCATTCGTGTTCCTGAATTCCCCAAACAAGTTGCCCCTAGGGCTTGCCTTCTACTCTACCCGACCTAAACACGGCTTTCAGGTTCTCACCAAAGTGCTTAGGGTTGGATTAAAGGCAATTTTAGAATTTCTCAAAATTAGACCCCCTCCCACTTGGCTCATGGCCAGCATATCTTCGTGGGGAAAAGAACATGTCCAGGAATCTAGTTCAGGGGTAAGACTCTCAAGCATTGTCACGGTGATGGAAGGTAAATGAATGCACCAGAGATGGTTTGGTGAATTAAACTTAGTTAAATTTGGTCTAGTGCCCTCTTGTCTGTGCATGGGACTCCTTCTCAGATCGACCTCAGGAAAGGCCAGTCTCTTGATACATTGCTATTACAGGTTTACTGATCTCCTTCCCTGGGAATGCTGAGTCAGGAGAGGAGAGGGTTCAGGGCGATAGTCAATGGCAGTTCTGTTTCCCCGGAGCCTTACTAAGCTTCAAGGAGCTTGGAAGCGAGGTAGGTGATTATGACCACACAGATTGCTCACACTTGGCATTGTGGAGCTCATTCCACCAGATTTCTCATTGGAGCACAATAGATCAGAACATCACCAATCATCAACATCAAAACACTTCAGTCTCCTAAAGGTAGTGGATACAAGATTCACCCTGCAGTAGCAATAAATTAAATACACAGGTCAAATCTTCTCTCTTCTGGCAAGTCCTCCAAGATGCCCATCTTCCCCTTGTCCTGTTGCTTAACAAGCACCCTGGCGCAGAGTGCAGGGGCAAGCCGAGGGCCGAACACATGCAGGTAGAGGACTGTTTAAAAGAGAGACCTGGGAAAGGCTGAGGCATTAGCCAGAGAAGAAGGGAAAATGATTTCCTGGAAGTATCTCTAGCAGTATCTGTAGTAGATAGTTTTCAAACCAGCCACCCACGGGCCCGTGCCTCAGGCTGGCAGAGCCAGCACTGTGCTTGAAGCAAAAAAAAAAAAAAAAAAAAAATTACCCATAGAAGAATAAGTTAAAAAAAAAAAAAAAAAAAAAAAATTAAAGCAGAAAACCTATGCTAGCCAATCCATTCCGAATGGGAGTGGGCACCAGAAGGAGACCTATCAGGTGCAATTCGTAAAGGGTTGGCAAGAGAGAATGCTGACGAGACGACCGTGAAGTGTGTGAACCGGCCAACACCAGGCTAAGATGCTGGCTATGAATACAAGCCACTTTTCTACAGCAGGCTTCTTTGTTGGTGCCTCATGCTTTGCGTGTGCCTGAACTGCAGCTTTCGATTTCTTAGAATTGACCCCAAGTTGGAAGTTTTGGGCTCTTGAGTTTCTGGAATCTTTTTTCCTAACAACTTCCTCCAAAGGAAACAGCCCATTGTGGTGCAACTCTATTGCATTTGATGATCCACATTTAGCCCTTCAGCCAACAAGCATAGCTTATGTGCTTACAGACCCTTGGGGCCAAAGAGATCAATAAATATTATTGGGAAAACACCCATCTCCAACCTGATTGTAGACCAGGTTGTAAGCAGGCCATGTGGTAGAATCCAAGCGTGATTAAAGCACACCTGTCCTTATTCGCAAGGAAGACTCTGGCCCTGAGAAACGAAAGCAAAGAGAAAGGCAAAGTGGGTCTCGGGGCCTCTCTGAATGAATCTGCAAGTCTGGCCTTCTTCCCCTTAGGTTAGAGGATGGGCATGGACAGAGGGCATGGTTTGGTCAGGGTCAGGAGCTGAAGAACATGCTGTGAATGATGAGCGCACAGGAGGAGGACATTGACAGCACATAACTCAAAGCAAAGTCATCGGTTAAAAACAGTGCCTTCTCTCTCTGGGAGCCAGCCGTTACCTACTTTCTCTGCTGGGCCGAAGAGCGTCGGGTGCAAATCACAGCCACCACCACCACCACCAGCACGGTGAGGATGCCCACCGTAACGACGATGATCACAAGCAGGTTGCTGTTCTTCTGCGGGGTCACACTGCCATGTGGTGGGTGCATCTGCCCAATGGGTGGCTCTGGGGGAAAGGCAGGGAAACAGAGATACGGTTAGAAAGATGTGGCATCCCAGTGTTTACCAAGCTCTGCTAGGCATGGGAAGCATCCTGTTATAATACCTACATTTAAAAGGAGAGGTAAGAACTCAAGAACTTCCCCCCAAAGAAATAAAAGCCAAGGCTCAAGGAAAAATTTGTAAATCAATGTTCACAGCAGTGTTAATGATCATGATCCTGAAATGGAAATGACTCAAATGTCTATCAACAGTTGAACGGATAAACGAACATGGTACTTCCATGTAATACCATACCATTCCCCACAGAAAAACGAATAAATATTAAAACATGCTACAACATGGATGAACTTTTGGAACACCATACTTAGCCAAAGAAGCCAAAGATGAAGGCCACACATTTTATGATCCTGTACACATGAATTCACCGACATCAGCAAATCTAGAGAGATGGAACTGGATTTCTGGCTTCAAGGGATTGGGGGCTGGATGGCCTGGGTAGCAATGATGAATATATTTGATAATTTCGGTGGGGGGGGATGATAAAGATGTTCTGGAATTTAATGGTGAAGGTGGTTGCATGCCTTTGCCAATAGAGCTGGAGGTATCTGAACTGCAGATTTTTAAAAGTTGGATGTCATAGTAGGTGAAGGGTGTCTTAAATGCAAATAAAAAATTAAAAGAGCTAAGCAATTATATTGAGTAATGAGAGGAAGAAGAAGAAGAGAGGACTGGCACTTTGTACCATCACAATTTTGATATGACAAGAATCAGAGAAGGCTGTGGTTTATGAGAAAAATGCCATTTAAGGTAGACTATTTGACATCAAATGCAAATGTATTCCCTATCTCTTAAGGAAGTGTCTCTTAGAAGCACATATAATTCTCAACTCCTGAAGGGGTTAAAAACACTCACTGGATTCCAAATAGTGCCTAAAAGCCTTGATACACACATTTTCCTGTGTTGCGATAGTCACTAAGAGTAGAAAAAATAGGGTAAAAAATAGAACAGTTTTGATAAATCGCTTACATAAACAAGAAAGGCTAATGACACTTTAAATGACTCCCTTCACATCCTCAGTCAGTGATTCATTAGGAATCCTCTCTTCTCTGTCATGTTTTCCATGACAAGCAACAAACTCAAAAGAAGTCAATACTAGATATTAACTGTTCTCTTAGAAATTATTTTAGAAAGTAGTGGAGAGATGTGAGTTTGAATGTTTCCTTGAATTCTATTTCTTTAAGAGCCTGTATTACTTTCTGTCCCCTGAGGAAAATATTGAGGCTGTGGAGCCTCAGTGGCTTTGTCAGTACAATGGAAATGATATTGATTGTATACAGTTATTATCAGCAGTAGAGAGAATACGTGCAAAGCAACCATTTTGGTGCCTGATACAGAGCAAGCATTTACAAGATTATTATACTGAAAACTTGATTCTTGAAAAACAAAATCTTGCCTAAATTATAGTACTTGGGATTCCTCTACTGAAGACTTCCAAACTACAATATTTCTAGGAATCTTTCAAGAGATAGCAGAGATTCTCCTCACAAGTGCATATAGTGACCTTGTTCTTGTCTCGAGGTGGAAATGCTGTTTAGTTATTTCTGCTTTTTAAAAGTGAATCATTAATGTTGGAAAGATAAAAAGCATTACTGATATAACTTGAATTTCTGGGAGGCGGGGTGGGGTGGAATGGAGAGTCCTCAGAACTTTTAAGAGAGTGATTACTATAAATGAAAGAAATAAGACTTCCTTGAAATAATCTTTACATTTACTAGAAAGGAATGGGGTAGGAATGAAAGGTCAGAAATTTTTGTATCATCGTTTTACTTACTATTTTAAAAGTCACTTAAAAAAGTATCATAATCTGCCCTTTCTATGCTTAATAAATTAATATATTCAAATAACTTAACCTTTTATGTGAGAGCTTACAATAGAGATAGTTGGGAGTCGGGTGGATTTTTATTAGCGTGGCTTAAATTGAACTACGTAGTTCATCCTTCTGACAAACTTAGAGTCACACAGAGCAGCGCACCTTAAGAACAGTTTAAGAAGCCTGGAAAGAGCAATTTATTCAAATTTCTACTCATTTCTTGCTTTCCACGTAGGAGAACATGGTGTTTCAATTCAGAAATAATGACTGGATTCTGCTGTGCAGTAGGGAGATGCCAATGATGCCATTTGCCTGGGAGAGTTACAGCTTGTGACGACTCCAGTGACATACTCTTGATTCTAGGACTTTATCACTTCCTCCTAAAAATTGCCATTGGTTTTAAACTTCGTATCAAAGTCCGTCATTCATTTTTGAATCTCCAGGCAAAAGGTAAATAATCAGAACATCTGCCAGAGAACAGGCAGTAAAGAAATCCATGTGTCTTCAGATTTGGACACATCAAGAGCTGGCTTCGATTTTTGAGAACTTCCAGAGTTCACCCATCTAGAGTAGGACGGTCAAGGGCACCCTGAGTTCAGAAGGGTCAAAGCTGACATTTGCAAACTAGGGGGTTTCAGTGGAGACGTCTTCTGGTGTCATGCCATGGTGCTTATTTGAAATCTCATTCCATGACTTACTGCCTGTGCACTATTAAATCTAGATGCAACTGATCTGTAAAAATAACTTCCCACCTTCAGGGCACTGTGATTATTTCATGAGATGATGTATGAGCTGCATCGGCTACCAGGCCCAATGCAGGGTTGGCACTAGATAAACATCTCGATGTGGTGCATTATATTTCATCCTTAGGTGATTTTTCCAATCTGAAGAAAAAATTAAACCACCAGAATGCACCTGTTTCCTAATGTCTTATTTAATAGTGGTTTTATTGTGTATTGGAGTTATCCAGAAAAAAGGTCTGTTTCATTAAAATGAGTGAGAAGGGAATCTGATTTTTTTTAACTAAATGAACATTCCATCCATTTCATGCTGCCTAAGCAAAGTAAAAGTTTCCATCTCTTTTCTGCTAAATTTATTATAAATGTGAATATATTTAATGGAGTCACCTAAGCACTTAGTAAAGATTAGACATGGGCTTAGTGAAACAATATCATTATTTTTTATAATATTTGGTAGACTTTAAAAAATAGGTTTCTTACCACTTTGTACCTTTATAAAAACTCTACTGAACAATTGACCGGAGGCAAAAACAGAACAAAAACAGCTATTGTATCCAGAAGTCCTGGCTCCTAGTTTGGGGATCTTGACTCTTTACCATGAAGAGTGTCCTAATAACTGCATAATATTAATAAACAGGTGACATCCCAAACATTAGAATGACCCTTTCACTGCTGAGGAAAGAAACGGGGCAGATGAAACACGGTAGTTGAGAAGTAAACATCTCTCCTATAATTGATGTCTTCTTTAACAACTTCCTTCATGATTAGAACATTAAGCGTGTTGGGCTTCTTGAACAAGGTCAGCAGTTCAAAACCTATATTCCCATTTAAGACTTGCAGTCTGGTAAACCCAGACAGGCAGTTCTATCTCGTCCTATAGGACTACAAGTCCAAATGGAATCAATACCAGTGATTTTTACGTTCTGTTTGGAGCTCAGTGTAGGAGCCCTGGAGGGTTACACGTTGGGCTGCTTATCACAAGGTCAGTAGGTTTGAACTCACCATTTGCTCTTTGGAAGAAAGATGAGGTTTTAATTCCAATAAGGATTTACAGGCTTGAAACCCAAAGGCTTATTTCTACTCTACCCAATAGGATTTCTGTTGCTGTGAACCTGACTTGGCTTAACGGCAGTTAGTTTGGAATTTAGAGCTTGGCCTATACCTTGAATTTCACTAGCCTTTGCATTCAAACAGAAATTCATATGGCATTGAGTGTTTCACAGCATTTCCCTGATTTTAGGAGCTATAGGTCAATCAGCTGGAAGAGATCTCAGGATAATCTAGCACAATGCTACCTAAAAGGAGGCATTTATCAATGTCATGGGAGTGAAGGGAGTTCCTTGGTCAATTAAATTGGAGAACATATTTCCTCAAATCTCAGAATGTTAAACATGCTAATGTGACCTGTGAATTATCAGGAGGGGCCAGGAAGCGATTGTAGAGAATGCATTCAATTCCTCTATAAATATGTATTGAAGCAGGGTGATGGTAATGTGATATTGTGGTCAATAGAGGCATGATCCTTGACCTCTAGTGGAAAGCGTATCCCCTAGTGGAAAAAACAAATATTAAACAAATCATGAAGCAAATACACATGAAATCATTATTATAATTTTCACTAAGGAGAAAGGCAAAGGGGCTCGTTTGAAATGTAGCATAAGGTCATTGGGAGAGAGTCATTGGAAGACATAGGTCAAAAAACCATTTCATTATGAAAATGGCATTTCAGCCGAAGTGTGACCTATCTCTAGGACTTAGCTCGTGCTCTTTTGCGAGGGGACAAGATGGAAAGAGCTCAGAGCAGTAGAGGGGCTGAAAGCACGCACGTGTCTGGACCCTTGAGGGTAAAGTGGAGAATGATACAAAATGAAGTTAAAAGAGAGGCCGAGTCAGCGCCATGAAGAGCTGGGGAGGTCGCCTTCAGGATTGGGGGTTTTATCCTCAATGCAACCGCAAAAGTGGTTTGTTTTAAGAAAGCCTCTCTACTTGTCGTTTGGAGAGGCTTTGGTGGTAGAAGCAGAGAGACCAGTTAGCTTCTCCACGTGAAAGACGCTGAGAGCTTCCTCAGAGATCAATGGTAATTTCAACGAAGCAAAGTGGACAGTTGGAAGAGACAGACAGTTTGGAAGCAAAGAAACACATGATGGGTTGGAAATGGGGTGAGAGAGGGAAATCAAAGAAGAGTGAGGTTCAGGCTTCAGAAGCAGGTCTGATGTGAGGGAGAGGATGAAAGGGCAGGCTCAGAGAGGTGAGATGAAAAAATCAGTTTCCTACAGAAAAGGGTTGAAGTCCTGCGATACGTGTTGAGGAAGAGCTATCTTATGCTAGGCATACAGATTTGGGGAGTTGACATTTTGATGGAATTTTAGCCCTACAAATAGATGAGCTCATTGA